ATAATTTTCTTACAAAGTAAAGAGTATCTCCCATTAATATTTTACATCAGTTCAAAAGGTCAATATTCTTTGTCCAGAGTGAGAGCAAACTGTCATAAGAAGGTCTTTCTGCTTTTGGAAATTATGTAAGTAGCATAACAGACTTTAGTTTCTTTGTGCCTCATTTTGGTAGCTTATAATGAAAGAAACTAATTGATGATTGTGTTTTAATTCATCACTGACGGAAAAATGACTTTTTGCACAAAAAAATAGGTCCCATTACTTTCTCAATATTCAGTAAGTGATAGTCCCAATTTAGTGATGTACATAGGAAAAATATGCCTAACTCACTAATGTATGTAAAATTAAGAAACTTTATTATTGACTGCATCAAAGAATTAGGTGAAACATGTTTTTGAGAGCATTCAGTATTAATGGTAATCTAAAGAGCTGCTGCTCTTCTGTCAAAATCTTTTTTTCTCAAAGTCAAATGCTTTGTTCCAAATTCTCCTTAGTGTTGCTTTCACATTGCAGTGTTTTAATACACAGATAAATCAATATGTTTGACAATTCCTCGTATACTGTATATGTTTATGATGCCAAAGAAGGGCTCTTTAGGCTTTTTCTCTTTCTCCACTCCACTTTTCTATGAAATTAGATGCTTTTTTAATGGAGCTAATACGCCACTATACAATTACAAGAGAGGAGCTTTAGACGAAGTATACACCACAGCTGGAAGTTTTAGGGTGTCAGAATTTCTGTTCACAGGCTGTTCAATTTGAATTTGTTTGTCAGTTTTTAAAGCATAAATATCCAGTGTTTGTACTGAAACTGCATCATTTAGTAGGAAATGTTGCAAAACCGTAGCAATGCAAGACATCCTAGAGGGGATTTCTGCGCTGGCCCAAGGGAAAAGAGATGCCTGCAGCCGAGTCCTGCTCATCTCTCCTGTGTTCTTTAGTTTGATAACCAAGTTCTGATTTTGATCTGTACCATTTGGGAGCTGACAGTGATTAGTCTGTCCATCCTGTCTCATCAATCTGACTCTTCAGGATTTACTCATTCTTCTTTGTTTGTTTCCCAACCTCAGTGTCATGAGCGCCTTCACACAGATGCATTTATATACTCATTAATAAAGTTTCAGTGACCTGGTCTTGCTGGGACAGAGTTATTTTCCCCATAGTAGCTATTGAGACTTTGTTTTGGATTTATGCTAAGAGGAATGCTGATACGGTGTGGTGTTTACATTTTCAAGATTTGTTTTCCAGTCTTTTGCCTGCAACTTGTGTTGACAGTTTCTATTTTTTTTTCCTTCTCTCTGCACCAGAAAATGGTGGGGGAGGAGGTGAAAGCCTGAGATTTTCTGGGACAGGTGACCTATGTCGGATGATCCAGATATGATCCAAGCAGACCACTAAAAATACATTCTATCCCACAAACATCACACTCACTATAAATTGGGGAGCTTGCAGGGGACGAGCCCTTCCCTTCCCTTTGATCCTTCTTTCTTCCTTCCCTTCCCTTTGATCCTTCTTTCTTCCTTCCCTTCCCTCTCTTCTTCTTTCCTTTCTTTCCTTCCTTCCCTTCTTCTTCGTGGTGGCAGCCCATCTCAGTTGCTGAGGCTTACCTCTCCCTTGTTGCATTTTGTAGCTGAATATAACTTCAATTGCTTTATTACCATTGTTCCTGTTCTTATTACAATTTATTGGTATTATTACAGTTTGGTTTATTTTAATTATTAAATTATCTTTATCTCAATTGAATAACTCCTTTTACTTTTTTTGTTCCAATTCTCTACCCCATCCCACCAGGGAAGGGTGAAGCAAGTAAGTGTCTTTGTAGTGTTTAGCTGCTTGCTGGGTTAAAACATGACATTCAGGTTTTTTTAAAAAAATCAGTATACTTTCAGTTGAAAAATATTTCCTAAGACCAGAGTCAGGAGGTACTACAATGCATTAAAGAGTACCTGGATTAAAGGAGAAAATTAGGGGAGAAAAGAGCTAGGTGGGGTTTTTTTGGTTGGATTTTGTTGTTGTTTATTTTTTAAGGCCTAATGCATCATGAATAATATATGAACTAATGGATCCCTTGAATTTTGAAAAAACAACCAACAGGCAAATCCTAATAATTGTAAACCAAAGCAAGCAAGCAAGCAAAACCAAGTAAATTAATATTCTGGTTGTTGGTGTATTTATTTTAATATTTAAAATATGACTGTCTGTACCACTTTCAATTTTCTGCTTCATTCTCCTATAAACTGGTACAAATCAAAGGAAGAAAGTAGAATCCAGTAAATAAGGAAATAACTAATAAAATATTATGCAAAATTATAAAGTGGTTATAGAATATCGATAGATAATGACTTTCCTGCCAATAGATAAGGACAGTCTGTCTTTGGCATATAAATAACATCTGTCTGTTAAGGAAGAGCTATCATTTCAAGGACTCAATTTTTACTACCTCATGAAGTTAAAATAATTTCTTTTAATTGGAAAGATTAGGGTGACTTTCATAGCTGGAAGTTACCTTCTGTAGAAAAGAACATCTGTAGACTTCTGAGCAGGTTAAAAAAATTCATTTTTTGTTTCTTTGCACCCTAGAAAATATTTCAGTCCTTTTTTTCTGAGAAATTAAATTGCAGGGAGAGGTGAGGTACCCAGCCTATGCAGTATTATGCTCACTGCAGAACACGATGTATCACACAAATAATTCTGTATGCATGCAGTATTACTTATAGGAAAACAACTGCTTAAATTTATGAGCTAATTAATCACTCAAACACGCACAATGAAAAAGAGACCAGTCTGCAACACCAGTATTCCATAAGTAATAAAATAGAGATTCAGTAGTAAACAATTATTAAAAAGCATGTTAAGCATACCATGTCGTTTTATTGATGTAGAACATGGCAAATGTCAGTATGAAAGACTATTTTTACCTATTAGCTTCAGATTATTTTCTTTAAACTGCAGCACTTGATTTTAATATATGAAATGAAGAGAAAATATGGCTTGCCAATGACGATTCAACACTGTATTAGAAGCTAAAGAAAACAGGCTGTAATTCAGGACTCATAATCTTGTGTCCTAGAAGTTAAAATACTGATTGAAAACTGTGTTACAGAATAAAAAAATTGTTTCCACAAAGGATACAGTCAGCTTCAAATGCAGTCGGTGTTGTGTTTTGGGCCCTGCCAGCAACTAAGCACCACTCAGTCACACGCTTACCTCTACCCCTGGTGGAATGAGACAGAGAAAATATAATGAAAACTCATGGGTTGAGACAAGGTCAGGGAGGGATCACTCACCAATTATGGTCGTGGGCAAAATAGACTCGACTTCAGGAAAAACATCCATTTTCTTTATTACCAATCAAATCAGACCAGGATAATGAGAAATAAAACAAAATCTTAAAAACACCTTCCACCCATCCCTCCCTTCTTTCTGGGCTCCACTTCTGATCTGTCTACCTCCCCTAGAGCAGCATGGTGGGACAGGGAGTGAGGGTTGTGGTCAGTTCATCCCATGTTGTTTCTGCTGCTTCTTCCTTCTCAGGGGGAGGACTCCTCACATGCTTCCCCTGCTCCAGCATGGGGTCCCTCCCATGAGATATAGTCCTCCACAAATTTCTCGAATATGAGTCCTTCCATGGGCTGCAGTTCTTCACGAACTGCTCCAGCGTGGGCCCTTTTTATGGGGTGCAGTCCTTCATGAACAAACTGCTCCAGCACAGGCTTTCCATGGAGTCATGACCTTCAGGTGCAGCCACCTGCTCTGGCGCTGGGTCCTCCATGAGGACCATGAGTGGATCTCTGCTCCATTGTTAACCTCCATTGGCTGCAGAGGAATCTCTGCTCTGGAGCACCTCCTTTCTCTTCTTTCTTTACTGACCTTGGTGTTTGTGTAGTTGTTTGTCTTACAATCCCACTCCTTTCTCCACTGCAGGTTCCTTCTGCCAGCTCCTGAAGTGCTCCTGGCTCTTGGGCTGGGGCTAGGGCTGAGGCAGGAGTCACACCACTCACCCCATGTGTTGTGCCCTTCTTAAATATGTTACCAGCGAGGTGCTCCCGCTGTTGCTGACTGACTTGGCCTTGGCCAGAGGCAGGTCCGACTTGGAGCCAGGAAAGTTTCTAGCATCTTCTCACGGGAGCAACCCCTGTAGGCCCTCGCCGCCACCAAAACCCTGCCACACAAACCCAACACAGTTAGAAAAAAAATTGCTGGTATTCAATATGCCTCTGGTATCCAGTTTACAAGGTTTAGGGTTTTTTGAGGGGTCTTTTTTGGGTTTGGTGGTTTTTTTGTTGTTTTTTTTTAAGTAGATTAGAAGTCATGTTTTTCTACTTTGGAAGAAAAAATCTCCTTTACTGTTTTGTGAACAGTCCGTAATAGATTGTGAAACTGGTTACACAGGACATATAATGAAGCTGACTGTGAAATAAGTAAGTGCTGTAAAATACAGAAAGATAACAAAAAAAAGAACATTGTTTAATAAACTTTTCTTTTATACATATGTAATTTATTTTAAAAAATAATTGGTTAAAATGGGAGCTAAAATATCAGGCCACAAAAAAAGAATAAATTTACTGTCCCTTTAAAGGATATGATTGGTTCTCACAAATCTTACAATTGTATAAATCTAGACTAACCGGTCTAAAGTCAATGAATATATTCGTGTGAAAAAAGTAGTGCAAAATCAGATTATAACCTCAGTGTAATTACCAGAGTAAAACTAGGAGAACAGATCTAATTTAAATGACAGAATAGTTATTAGTCTTTGAGACTGCTCTACATAAAGTTCATGACTGGTCTAAAGATGAATGTGTAAAATTATTTTTATAAATAAATTATATTGATATCAACATGACATTTGCTATTCTAAGTTCTTTTCAAGATAATTTGTCTCCTAAAGTTTAATCACACTTGTTGCAGTGACCTTTAGATTGTTTATACATCAAATTTCTGACATTTCTGTGCTTGCCAAGCCAAAAAATTAACTTTGCAATTGTGCTTTATTTGCAGCATCTGGCGAGGACCAAATATAAACTGCACAGACAGTTCAGGTTATACTGCTTTACATCATGCAGCTTTAAACGGTCACAAGTAAGTGCCTCGTGTTTAGTTTTTGACTAGAATGGTATTTATTTGTGTAACTTAAAAATATATAGTGTAGCACTTGAGATTTGCACAGAAAGCTGACAAACCCTGACTTAAAATAATCTTATCTCCCATGGGATGTATTAATTTAAGAATTTTTGACACTTTCATTGATATCAGCCTGTACTAATGACAAATGGGAAATGCAGTTTAGAAGCTATACAGTCTATACTGATTATTCCAAATTCATCCTTGATTTTGAGTAGATTTATTATCGTTACTGCTGGTGGTGGCTCTAGTGCTTTTTAGCTAAAGGAAAGTTACAAGAAAAAATTTTGTAGTATACTTGCATGTGTACATACATATGTATAGTGTGTTGAATGTTTAAGGAAGCAATATTGTGGAACAAAAGAATTGTATAGATTCATCATTATGAAAGTAAAAGTAGCATGATAAGAATATTTAGTAGTTTTACACTTGAAAGCAGAAAGAAATGGCTGTTACCTTGCACGGGACCTTGTAGCTTTTCCCTCCCTGCTGCCCATCCACGTTACCACATGCATATCTCAACAAGCTTGTGGAAAGCCTGCAAATTCCCCACTGAGGAGTACTGCACAGACGTCCAAGTGCAGGTGAATTCTGTAAGGCATTGAAGTGTCAGTGAAAACCAGTGGAATCTTGCAACTTATTTTGTTATTGCAATTCGTAATATGTTCTGTGTTACAGCTGTTGATGCATGTTGCCCCTTGCTACCTCCATTGTATTATGCTGCCAACTGCTTGTTATTAAGGAAGAGCAAGAAAGATTTTAATGAGGTCTGTAAAGTTCTAGTGGGATGAACCTCACTGTAACCAAGATCCTGCTATAATGGTAGCACTGTCAGCAAGAGAATTGGACAGACACCTTGTGGTTGCAATTTCATTAATCACCACAAATAACAAATAAATAGCTCTACACTCTGTTTCAGATTTGAAACTTGATATTCAAAACCAATATTGGGTACAATCTTTCAACACAAACGCCTTCCCACTTTGGAGAAGTTCTTGTACTTTGAAACCTTTTTAGGTTTTAATGTTTCACACTTCACACTAGGATGTACTTGAGAGGTTTCAAAGATTTTCGGGAAAGTGAGAACATAAGACTTAATGACTTAACCAATTATTTGTGGCTGGAACACTTGGGTACCAGTGTTCAAGTCCTTGCTTGATAATTTATGTGATGATTTCCCTCCTCCTTGGTTATTCTGAGCTAGTTCTCCTTCATTTTGAAACTATTCTGCTCTATATAAGTAATTAAATCGTATCTGGGACAGAGACTTTAATCTCAGTCTCCCTAACTAATTTTACTTAGCCCAGTAATATTACTGGGCTAAGGACTCTCAGTCTTCTCCTCATTGAAATTTGTTTCTATAAAATGAAAAAGTTCTGACAGAGCACTAAAAAAGACGTACCCTAGAGAAGTGTGGTGGGATAGGGCATTCTTGAAGTATGAAGGAGACCTAGGTTCTATTTTGAGCCTTGGACCTTGCAACAGACTCTTCCCAATAGTTACCGCATATCGTTATCTATAGATTTCAGTTGTGGAGGGTTATTTTTGCTGGTTTTCCCCCACTTAGTTCAACTTCTGTTTCTTTTGATTTCTGTCCCTTTCAAACTACTCTGTATCTCTAGCCTTCATTAGACCATCTACTGCTAAACCAACTATTATGACATGAGAAGTCTCTCAAAACTTATTTGTACTAAAAGTTTCTCTCTGTGTTGCAAAAGTCTTTCTGTAGTGGAGCTGCACTTTCTTGGTTGTTTTCATGTTATTTGAGTCAGTAGTCAGGAGTAAGCCAAATCCAGCTTAAAGTCTCACTCAAAGTTTAGATGTGATGACTCCAGTATCTCTATGATTTCTTTTGAAGACAATTGGGAGTTTCTTCTGACCTGGATACATTCCCTCTTACTTGCCACATTTTTCTCTCAGTATGCAATTAAATAAAGTTCCATCAAGGTTGGTAGAACAATTGTCTTGGGATTTACTGTCTGTCTTAATTTGTAGTCAAGGACTTCATTTTCAGTCATAACATAGACTGCATTGAGCTCCCTCCCTGCCCTGGTTTTTTTTTTTGAGCCAAATCAGTAAGAGCCAGTGTTTCCATCTTCAGCAAAACTGTGCGTAGAACTGCCTATACTGGATCATAGATGCTGTTAACTTAATAACTAATGAAGCCTGACTGTGTCAAACTATGAGAAGACAAATGGAGAGATAAGACGGGATTGATATACTTTCCTGCATGTTTGATAACCAATGATCATACCAATGATTTTTAAGTTTAACTTTTGAAGTTAAGTACAGGAGGCTGCTTAAAAACCAGAGATTAAATATACCAGCTTATACTAATCTTTCATTTAATGTATGATAAGCCACACTGAAAATACTGAAAAAAATATAATAAGAATTAAAATAATATAAATCACTTATTCCTTACTGCTCTCGGGAAGCTGGATTTGGAAAATGAAAATAGAAGCAGTTATTCCATAGAAGATAGTCTATATCTAACTAGATCATCATTAAATTGTTTCTTCCATCTTTGAGATAATGCCTTAAAGAAAAAGAAAAACTGTTACTTCTACACCTTACTGCAAGAGTTGTGTCCATAAAGCTACCCTCTTTTCTTCCTGCCTCCAGAATTCAGCAATGATGGGGACAGGAGTACTTCTCTGCCTTTAGTGCTTGGAAGGTTTGTCTTGAGGGACATGCACTTGGCCTGTACTGGCAGATTCCAAAAATTATTATGTGACCAGGTGATCCTGTTGAAAGAAATAGATTCAGATAACTGATGGTAATATTGTTGATTGGTATTCATAAGAAGTAAGAATAATTAAAATTAATGACATTTTGGCTATGTTTTACTATCTATTTCATTCTTAGAAATTATTTGTCTTCATTTCTGTAGCTGTTTCACTTGAAATATAGGGGGTTTTTTTCTGATATCCAAGGTGAAAATTCTGGAAATATGTATGTTCATGTAAAAAATTAATAAAATAACTTTCCTGTCAATTTTTAGATTTACTTCCTGTTTTCCAGGGATATAGTTCTCAAATTACTTCAGTATGAAGCATCAACTAATGTGGCAGATAATAAAGGTTATTTTCCTATTCACTTGGCTGCTTGGAGAGGAGATGTAGATATTGTGAAGATTCTCATCCATCATGGACCATCACACTCCAGAGTCAATGAACAGGTGAAATGATAAAAAATATTTATGTACATCATCAGAAAAGAGCAGCACATATTCTTTAGGTCTGGCAAACACAGCCAAATTTAAAAAAAAAATAATCTATTTTCCATTGTTTCCATAATTTATTCTCCAAGACTAATAAAATCTTCCAATATAAGCATACCAGGTATCTTTCTTCTGGATAGACACTGACCTAAAGGATATTAGATTTAAAAACTATGAAAAAATCTGCTTGTTTCTGAAAAATCATATGAAGATATACTCTATGATGATATGTATTGATGTAATTTTGCATAAACTGTGCCTTTTTTAATTTATTAGATATTAACTTCCTGAAAAACTTTAAGAAAAAAATAATATTCTTGGTAAATTTTGAGTGTACTGTAAATGAACTGATATGCACAGATAAATGACAAACCAGATGGACTGCATGTATGCATGTGCAACAGAAAGGATGCATAAATACTAGAAAAAATGAGGAGAGTATTACGGTGGGTTAGGGCAGGATAAGTATGTTGCATTCTGTTTTCAAACATATGGCACACCTTCTGTTTTCATTACGTATATTCCTATATGATCTATTTGTAGGGTTAGTATTTAGAAATAAAAGGCGATTAAAATCTGACATAATCTATAGTCAGCTGAACTGCTTGAGGATTGGAAGTAGGCTGTGAAATATAAGTAGTAACTGTAAGGTATTGAATTTGCCAGGGTAATCAGGAAGTTACTGGAATGTAAAGGTGGGAGTCAGCTCCAGATTTGAATCTAATTTTTAGTGTCTATATTACCTGTATATGCACTGTTTTATTCCACAGAGGTCTAGTCAGTGTAATCACAGGAACTAACAGGGTTATTCAGGTGACCAAAATTAAGGCAGCTTTCATTTGTCCAAGGACAGAAATTCAGTATCTTCTAAAGCTCTCCAATAACTGAGACATCTGTGTGGGCCTGAAAGTATGACAGAGGATGCTCAGAATTTCCATGTCCTTGTGGAGTGAATAATGGACTCCAGGTAGGGTACACTACAGGACCTGAAATGGTAAAGTACAATCAACAAATGAATTACACTCTCAGTGTCTATGTTAGCATGGCCAGAAGGCAAACTGTGAGAAAATAAGAAACATTAGACCTAAACTGTGAACACATCAGTGTGAGATGCCATTGCTTGAATAATCTATTTGAGATTTTTGATTATACACTTAGCCATTGGAATCCATACAATAACTATGATATGGATATCAAGTATAAGTGCAGGAAATGTAGGAAAATAAAGTAATAAAATATGCCCATGTATCAGTCTTCCGAGAAATCCTATAATACCCTGGCTTATCCAAGAAAAAATACAAAACCCAAACTTGTCATTTTGTAGTCTGAGCTGCAGATTAGGAGTTTCTCTGAGTTTCTCATTTTCATCAGCTGTTGCATGTAGGCTGAAACCAGTTGAATTGTAGGAATACCTTTTGTCAAGGAGAAAGGTTTTTTTCCCTTTTATTTCTGCAACAAAGTACAAACCGCAACTTTCTGATTGCATATTATCCATTTACCTGAAGAGATTTCTTATACTCTACTGGCAGAAAGCTTACTATGCAGAAACTTTAGAGATAATGAAGAAGATATTTCAGTAAGATGAGAAAGAGAAATGTAAATTCAAACCTACTTCTTCCCAATCCCACATTTACATCTGAACTTCTAGAATATTTTCAAGCTTGATAAGGTGTGGTGTCCAGTCTCTCTGGTTTGATTGCTGGAGCAAATAAGCAGGGATACATGTGACTTTATACTCCACTGACTCAAAAAAGGTTTTGTCCTCAGATCTCCCGCTCCTTATGCATTTTATCCAAAACCTTTATAATGGAAAATGTGTGATCAACCCTCATAAGAAATGATGGACCTTAAGTCTCTTAAAGGAATTTTAATAATTTTAAACTTTGAAGATAAACTCATACATACTCAGTTCTACCGCTTATAAGAAATCCTGGGCTATTTTTCTTTCTTTATTTTTCTTCTGAGAGTTGGAGAGAAGGATAGCCATTTTTCCTGACATTTTTTCACCACAGCAAATAATATACTCAAGTCAGACTTTCTTTTTTTTTTTTTTAAGTATCATATTATGAATGTATGTACTTTCAGTTTAAGGAAATTATTTTATTATTTAACAATTGTTGCAAGTGATTTTTAATACGTCTTTGCATTTCATCTATTTTATAAAAATTCTACATAAAAGAAATGCTTCTAGAAACTTAAGTGAAAGTAATGAACAACACAAAAAATAAGTAAATGAGAAGCTCATGATGCATAAATGTATATTACATGAATTAATGGATTTAATATGGTATACTGTAAATTAATTGAACTGCATTGTACACATTTAAAATGCAGTTAACTAGCATCGTAGGATCATATACAGCCATATCCAGCATCTAAAGCTCTGAATGCCCCCTACTGTTCCCATTACATAAAATTGAAAAAATATAGAGGCTAACAGTTAAATGACAATTATTTTGTGGGGGTGGTGGAATGTAGACTGACAACTCTACACACAGAAAATAGTTACAGCATAACAATTGTGTAAGAATAATTCTGTCGCTGTTTAATACAGAAGTCTTAGTTGGCATGTATGATGTGTGTTTTAAATTACAAAATATGGTGAAATTACAAAGCATGTAAGTTTTTAAACTTCATTGAGGAGGGCTTGAAAATATGTAAATTATAAATTGAATGAAGATCAATTAGGTAGTATGAATCAAGATTTGTTAGGAAATTAATACCAAATATAATAAGAAAGTGTGCTGTTAACTAAGTAGTGTCAAACTACTTACATGTTTCTTTATGTAAAGACATCTGGTTAGCACAAGAATTTATAATGGCAACTCTCATCATAAAATTACATAATTTATAAGAAATTCTAGTCCATGAAATACTAAGTAATAAATAACAGCCACAAATAGGTCAATATGTAGTGTTTGGTATTAGTGCAGGAAAACACATGCAAAAAAGGTGTATGACATCAGGAATAAATATCAAGCTCAAAATAATTTATATATATATGTGTGTGTGTATATATATATGTATATACAGAATATGAATAGTGAAAAATTTACAAGAAAAAATGTGAACACTTGTGAAATTTTTCAGTGATGTTGTTCTCTGTTTTGTGATCCCACTTGTTTTTCTTTATGCAAATAGCACATGTTTGTCCTTACATTTATGTATTTAATGTACTGTGAAATTTTTCTGTACATCAAATTGTAATTGTCATAAAAAACTCACATTTCCTTAATGCCATTTGACACTTCTGAAATGTGAAGGAAAAAAGTTCAGCATGCATTCATAATATGTAAATACCTAACATCTAACATATTTACTGACTTCCACAAATCATCAAAATGAAGCACAGACATTATATGCTTCTCTCAGTGACACCACTGGGACTTCCAGAAGTACAATTCAGTTCCAAAGTTGTATGCCAAAACAATAATTTTCATGTTTTGCATTTGATGTTCAAAGGGAAGCATAAAATTTAAGGGAACAAGAGGCATCCACTTAAATTAGAGACTATGTGGACAAATTTCAAAATTTCCCCTGTAAATCTTACTATAATCTTTTTAGAGAAAAAAGAAGTACAAAGGCAATCTTTTTTATTTGAGCCAATTGCAGCAATAAATTTGAATAAAATGTTTATTCAAAAGAGTCGACCAAATTACAGAATTTTCTGTTTCCACGTAAGTAAAGGTGAATTTCAGTGGGAAGTCAGTAGATTTGATTTTCATTCACCTTGGGTAATTTGCAGCAGAATTTTCCCCAATAACTTCTATAAAATTGTCTTTTTGAAAAAATATTACTGTCTAAATCCAAGTATTCTCTAAATTATAGAACAATGGCATCTTTATTTGGCATCATACTGTTCTTATATGGTAAAAATATTCATTACAATATGTTCATAGAATCACGGAATTATAGAATGTTTTGAGTCAGATGGGACTTTCACGGATCATCTAGTCCAACTCCCCTGCCATGGTCAGAGACATCTTTCACGAGATCAGGTTGCTCAAAGTTCTGTTCAACCTGACCTTGAACACTTCCAGTGATGGGACATGTACAACTTCTCTGGGCAACCTGTTCTGAAGTCTCACCACCTTTATCATAAAAAATATCTTCCTTATAGCCAATGTAAATCTACCCTTTTTCAGTTTAAAATCATTGCCCCTTGTCCTGTCACTACAGGCCGTGGTAAAAAGTCTCTCTCCATCATTCTTACAAGCCACCTTTATATACTGAAAGGCAGCAACAAGGTCTCCCTGGAGCTTTCTCTTATGCAGGCTGAACAACCTCAACTTTCTCAGTTTTTCTGAACAGGAGAGATATTCCAGGCCTCTGATCATTTTCATCACCCTCCTGTGGACCTGCTGTAACATGTCTTCCTTTTACTGGGGACAGACCTGGATGCTATACTCCACATGAGATCTCATGAGAGCAGAGTAGAGGGCGGGGCAAGAATCACCTCCCTCGACCTGATGGCTACCCTGCTTTTGATGCAGGCCAGGATAGGACTGGTTTTCTGGGCTGCAGGCACAAATTGCCAGCCCATGGCCAATTTTTCATACACCAGTATCCCCAAGTCCTTCTCTGCAGGGCTGCTCCTAATTGTTTCCTTACCAAGTCTGTACTGATATTGGGGATTGCCCTGACCCAAGTGCAGGACCTTGCACTTGGCCTTGTCAGACTTCATGAGGTTCACATGGACCCACTCCTCAAGCCTGTCAAGGTCCTTCTGGTTGACATTCCTTCCCTCTAGCATATAAACTACACCACTCAGCTTGGTGTCATCTGCAAACTTGCTAAGGGTGGACTCAATCCCACTATCTATGTCATTGATGAAGATATTAAATAGTATTGGTTTCAGTACAGACTCTAGGGGGACACCATTTGTTACTGAAATGTTCATTAGGGATTACAATACAGAAGCTTAAGCTGCACTGAGAAGGAAAAAATAGAAATGGAGCAAGGTAGCATGCAGTAAAGAATTTCAACACCTCAGTATCAATTTGTAGTAGATTTAAAGAGAAATGAAAGGAAACATAGTAGTGCTACAGGGAGAAGGAAATGTCCAACTATGTTATTTATGAGTGTTTCTCCTCTTACAACTGATATTTCTAGTTTAAGTAAAATAGCTTTAATTTTATTACTTTTCTGTTGCAAATAATTAAAATCTACTTGTATCTCTTAAAATAGTTTGATAAACTGAAACTTCTGACTTGACTTGCTTTTTATTGGGAATTGCCCATGCAGTAAACTTTTTGTGTTCAGTTTTGATTCTGCATCTAGCCAGATTCCCTGCTATTATTAACTACATAATTTCAGCATTTATACTACAATGTGTAACTCTTGATACTCATTGGAGCCATGTTCAGAATTTCATTCAGATTTCAATGAGAAAGATCGTATCTCCCCAAATGCATTTTTGTATTTGTTTGGTCTCAATTATGTTGCTGGGAAACTTTTGTGCAAATGCAGTCCCTTTTCAATATGACTGTTAAACACATTCTCATTTCTGTATTAAAAATCATTGGGGTCTGCATGTCGAAAATTATTCCTAGACTTTTGGCAGACAGTTTTGGACATCAGTGGAATATTATTTTGTGGCAGGACAAGGTGTCATGGAAGAAAAAATTCAATCAATCAGGAATGGTAGGTCTTAAAAAAACCCAACAAAGTTAGAGAAACGCTTCCAGTACAGCTTTAGTACAGCCTGCCATACTGATCAGATGCATTGCTATGAAGGCACAATTCAGTTTGCAGCAACGGAATTCTAAGTTCTGGCTGGATGTGGAAGAGAACAGATTCAGGAAAGGCTAGAAAATGTCAGGACCATGCCTGTGAAGTGACCCATGTAACAATGAAGATGAAAATTACAGAAGTTTAAATGCTGAATCATAAGATGCCTTATTTCTGAAAGAGGTCCATTGGGCCATATGAATATCTACTTGGTTAAAATATTATTAATTATGAGTATTGGGGACATCTGTTTTATACTATTTTTGCATAATATTGGTCTACTCCTCTCTTTTTGTCTTACATTTTGTATGTCTTAGTTCTGATTTCTTTATTTTTATTTTTCTTGACTCAGTCTTAGGATCTATCTTGTAGTTTCTAACATGTAGTGGAGTATCTGAAATTTCTAAAAGCATTCTAGTTTTTTCTTCAGCACTAGATGCATTATTTAGCTCTTGGATATCATATTTGGAGATATAATTACACAATGGTAACTTTCACGCAGACATTTGTATTTTCATAGCAGGTTAACTGCTCACTGCAATTAATTTCAGTGCTTAAACTTTCTGTACTCCGGAGACAACTGTTTACATTTGGGACTGAAAATGTAGGCAATGCTACTAAATTATTATTCAGTTCTTCAAGAATATTTTTTTTTGTCTTTCAAATATTTCTTCAAAATAATAGTCTATTTTAGAGATATGAGGACAAACAGTAGCTTAAAAACAATAGAGCTACACCTGGGTTAGCTTTGTCTGCACAAAAGACAAGTCAGAAGTAGCAGCATTATTGGGAGTAAGGAAATCACATAACTTCAACTCTTAAAATATAAATTTGTTTTGTTTTGTTTTGGGTTTTTTTTGTTATTCCTATATGTCTTCTATAAACAAATGCCTTTAAGGAGGAAGTTCAGAACACTGACTGAGAGATCCATGTCGTTCTTTCCATGAGATGTGAAAAGAGGAAGATAATGTTTCTTCCACTCCAGGAAATACACTGTTACAGTCTCCTCCATCTTAGGGGTTCCTCTGGGAATGCTGAACCAACTGGGACTATCTGGCAGGCACTCCCTCCTTTCCTAAATTTGAAGATGGCAGAGTCTGTCAAAACCTACTTTAAAACTCTATCCTCTCTCCTCAGTAAAACCTCTTGCTTCCAAGGTGATTTATTTTATATAAGTAGTACTAAATTGTCAAAGCAGATAAATTTAGAGGGCAGTTAAACAAGTTGTAATTCTCTCCTTGAAAATTAAAAATCATTCTATCTTTTATACTTGAATTGAGTTGATTAATTTACATTTTAAAGAGGGAAGGTTGTTGTATTACTAAGTTTTAATTAGGTAGTACCTCTCAGCTCTGATAATACATTATATGCAATGCCTGTTCTGGCTGCATGCATATAGGTAATTTAATAATCATGTTTGTTCAGTTTGGATTCTCCTATTTTATTTCAGTGATACCTAGTTCTTTTTAATTTTGAGTCAGTTTGATCTGTTATTAACTGAAATGTAGCTTTAATTTGGCAAACGAAAAGAAACAAACCATACAAAGATGTTCAACAATGTTAATTTGAAAAGAATAATGTTTTGTTCAGATTTACAGATGCTTTTATGTGCCATGCTGTTTTAAAATAAACTTTTCTGTAAATATGCCCTTGCATGAAAATTCAGCTGGATATTCTTTATTTAGAGGGAGCAAATTTCAATTTGCTGTGCAGCAGCAGTTATTTGGACTAGTTGGTCTCTATAAGTCTATATCTGTGGCTGAAATTTTGAACAGTCACCACATTTTGAGAAAAAGTCTGCAGTCAATTTAATTTTTATGTCCCTTTGAAAATGTAATCAGAATACTTTTAAACTACAGTATTAGACTGTAGGCACAAGATTCCAGATACTTTATATATTATCCAGAAAAGCTTGAAAAAAATTCAAACATAAGCACGTATTGGATAGATAGATATATCTGTTGATAGTTGTACAGGAAACGTGTATTTTGATGTTTACCTCACAGAATGTGGATGTAGCTATACATCTGATTTTTTTGTGTAACTCTTTCCATTGGATATTCAAATAGAGTAACTGTAGGCACAAATTGCCATAGTTGGCCATTTATCAATTATCTAATTTTCATACTTAATTGTGGTAACTGTACACAAAATTATACCACAATTGCCTGTTTATCTATGCAGTTCTGCCCATGAAATATTGAAAAAATCTAAAAATAAATTCTAATAAACTGTGTTTCTGATTTGTGAGTATACCACTGTACATAAAAAAATTGCTTTGCCCAGTCCTGTATAAAGAATACATTAGAGGTCACTACAGAACAAAAAGCGTATCACAGGTAGTTGATAGATCATTGCAACCATGTACTATTTTACCTACTCTAAACTGAATTTATAGTCTATATAATAATAAAAGAACAAGCGGTCATCTGAATAATGTACAATGATGCAAATACTTACTTGTCATCAAGCAACAGGTTGTCCTGGGAACTTATGGATGCCCTCTCCCTGGAAGTGTTCAAGGTCAGGTTGGACAGGGCTTTGGGCAACCTGGTCTGGTGGGAGGTGTCCCTGCCCATGGCAGAGGGGTTGGACTGGATGATCTTTAAGATACCTTCCAAACCAAACCATTCTATGGTTCTAATCTATGTCTGCCACTATAAACTTCTCACTTTTTACCTGGCTCTTCCTACTTTCCAGGTTCTGTCTTGCAGTTTAGCAGGAAACACTTTCCAGTCCCTGGGATCTTGTGTGGTGTTGCAGACACCTCAAGACTTTACCTGCAACATTAACTTATCTGAATGTAATGATCTGTCTGTTCTGTCTCCCAGGTTCATCTGAGTAGTTCTAAGTTACAAGATGAGTTTAAAATTACACAAATGTCATTAAACCGACAAACCTGATATTTAAGTTCTTGATTATAGAATTAGAAGCACTGTTACCAAAAAAAAGTTTTCCACCTTTCTAGATATTATTGTGCAACATGGATTTTCTTATCCTAGCTGGCTTTTCAGTAGAAGGCCAAAGCCTCATTTCTCTGATTCTTTCACCCTTTCTGTCTTTCAAAAGACAAACCTTTTTTTTTCTCTGTTTTCAGTTCTCTGTCCCCAGAACGCTCTTCAGTTGTTTTCTTGAGAAACACAGCCTATGGATTCAGATTTATCTCTTATCCTTTCTTTAGAATTATATTTATACCCTTCTTTAGTACCTTTTCTGAATTTACTTTTTTTTTATTTCTTTATATGACACATTATCTTATTGGCTTTCTATTTTTGTAAACCATATATCAGAAGAGGCATTCAATGTATATACTTTTAGAATTTCATATCTAGTCTATTCTAAAACTTCATAGAGACTACATGAGATATATTCATTATATAGATGGCATATAGAATTCAGAGAGCTCTACAAATTATTTCCTTCATCTCAGCCTGAAGTTATTTGTCTGTTTAGAGTTGCAAGTATACAGGCAGAACTGGAAGAAAGCAGTTAAAGAAGATACTGCTTATTCTCAGTATTTATTTATTATTAAAATTATTAAATAGTGTTTGGGGAAAAACTTTGGGGGCATTGCTTTAAAAAGCAAAAACTTATTCAATCCACAGCATACAGATACTCATATGACTTAAAATGTAGACATACATCTCCCTGGAGCCCTGAGAAGATGAGCTGCTTATGTGATATGCTAAGTCTTTCTAATATCTACAGTTGATATTTTGCATTATTCCAAGCTTTGATTGTGTTCTTGATACTAACTTTTATAGTGATATATGAAACTGACCTTATGTCTGATACATTTTCATATCATGAACAACAAGGTTTTTTAGGGCATGTTGTTAAAAATGGGTTGGAAGCAATGTGGACACACAGGGACCTGATCTGCTTGAGAGCCACAAAGCTGAAGTATTAATGTATTATTAGTAAAATTTTAGTGAAGTGACTCTGAAGCATTTAACATACATTACCATACATTATACTGCAAATCCTGCCTGTGTAGTGATGTCACGGAGGCAATTTATAGAAGCCAAGCAGTTCTATTGTGTGATTAAATGTTAATTTCTGAAGCTTTTGTTTTTTTTTAACAGAACAATGAAAATGAAACAGCACTGCACTGTGCAGCTCAGTATGGTCATTCAGAAGTAGTTGCTGTCTTGTTAGAAGAGCTAACAGACCCTACAATAAGGAACAACAAACTAGAAACACCTCTGGATTTGGCAGCACTTTATGGACGTCTGCGTGTTGTAAAAATGATCATCAAAGCATATCCAAACCTCATGAACTGTAATACAAGAAAACACACTCCTTTGCATCTTGCTGCACGTAATGGCCACAAAGCTGTTGTACAGGTGCTTCTGGAGGCTGGAATGGATGTCAGCTGCCAAGTTAGTGTGTAATTTCTTTCTTCCCTTATTTCTTTCCTCCTTTCTTCCTTTCTTTTCTTACTTTCCTTTATCGTTAGAGTAGGATTCAAATGAAATAACTTCTTACATTTTTTCTTTTAAAATACACTTGCACTTATTTTGTTAGAAATGCTGCAAGGTGATACATGGTACAGATTTATTTTTTATGACCCAAATGATGTGTTCAAAGGTATAACTCACGAAAGATATGTGTCTTCAAAGCTGAGTGTATATTTTTATGTTGTCTTGAGACATGTAGATAGACAAATCGTATCAACCATTCATGTAGGTGAATATATATATCTTTTATACAACATTTGTTTTAATGATACTAAGCTGACTTGCTGAAGCTGTGGCTCTTAATTGTTATAGCAATCTTTAATCAAACAATATTTGACTGAGAATTTGTTTTCCCAGGTTTATCCTATTCTAAACCCAAAGTTACTAAATAATAATAATTTAGATTTTCTGCTTCTCTAAACTCTTGTTCTATAAATCTAAAAATTCTATAGTGATACACTCTTGTAGCTACTGACTCCAACCTATTAGCTGCTTGGTGCATCTAGTTCTATGCACAGTAAGTGATAATGGTGTAAAATGGGTAACTTTAATTAAAAGAGACATAGATGGGAACAGATAAAAGGTACAGCAGCAGTAAATTTTATGTCAAATTCTTTGTAGTGGAAAGTGTCCAAGCCTTTTAACTACAGAAGAGCTGATTCTGTGAAGTCTTGCCTCAGTCATAATTTCCCTTGGTTTGATTGATGGCACTGTATTTGAGTTTAAAGTGTATTTTAGCTTCAGATTTAAAGTAGCCTTCTTCCTGTCTCAGTATATATAATACGCTTTGAATTAAGGTTGTTTCAGCTGAATAACTATTTTCAGATAGATAAACCAAGGAAACAAACATAATTACAACTATTTTGGTCACATTGAGGCATTCTTTACCAAAAGGTGATTTAAGAAATTTTGTGAACTTTGCCTAAACTTTTACTAAGTTTAAGCTTTAGGTGCATTTAATCAAACATCTTTGAACACGTATTTCCCTTTTATATAGAAAGATTGCACCTGGATTCCATGCACTTTCATTATTTCTGGATTCTTCCATTAAGGTCATGTTTTTCAACTTTTGAGGAAACGAATGTGAAGTGGGAAAGAAAATATAGAGTTAAAAAAACCAGCAAAACCTAACAAAAAACAAACCAGAAAATATTAACATATTTTAAGACTAAAAATGGGTATTCTCAAGTACTTTCAAAATGAAAATGTGGTAAAATAGTTTTGCTACTCTTATTAGCTCTAGTATCTTTTGAGTTAGTATTGTTGCTTGCTTCAAACTATTTAGAACCAAAACACTTTTTTTCTGTCATTTGCCTACTTGAGTATTTGCCTACCATTATGCTTCAAATTTAATTTACTTTTGATTTTCTTTACTAGAAAGTGATACACTTGCAAAGGTTAACAAAAGAAGCTCTTTTGTTTGAGCTGTCCTTTACTATAACTACTTCTTCAGTAATTTAGAAAAGTTTAATGCTAACACAACACATAATAGAACCCTTGAATCCATGTTTCTGAATGTGTGATTTCTCCTCTGTCTCTAGTAAATGAATGAGGAAAAATCAGAAAGAAACTGATGCCTGAATTGATGCTTAAGAAATAGAATAATTGATAATATAATAATAAAATAGTCTCTGTCATGGCAACTTACAAACTGATGGTTACATGAGGGTTGAATATTACACAATGCTTTTATTATATGTGTTCTTCCTCTTATGTAATATATTTAATTTTAGCACTACTGTGATTTCTTCTAAGCCTTTTCTATTTATAGTTATACCAAAAATTTTTTGCTGGTCTTTAAACAATATAGTGCTGTAAATTTTTTACATTCTTTTAAGAAATAAGAGATTCTTTTAGTAATGGTGATCTGTTTGCCATCTTCACTAAAATTCTATGACTTTTTAAAAAATTCTAATTTGTTTTAAGTAATTTATGTTCTTATGTCTCGTAGTTATTCTCAGGCAGGGGGATTTTTATATTTTATTTTGTTTTATTTTTTGCACTGGGTAATCTTGTTTCTTCTGTGTTTGTCTTACTTGCCATAAGGAAATATTACTTAGTTATTTTCTCACCAGTATACATATTCTCCATCAATATGTTCCTTTTCATTCAGCATCTTAGCATATTGGCAAGTTGGCTCTGTACATATTGTTAACTTATTACTTCTCTAACCTCTGAAAAATTCTTTGTTGATGATTACTGGCAGCTTATTAAACTGAGCAGAGCATAAAATATCAGTCTGTTACTTAAAACTGAATTCAGCTCTTTTAATATTAATGAAGTTACTCTACATCACTGATTGGGAAAGAACAATATACAAAGTATAATCCCATGTGGTAAATAAATTGGTATGCATTCATACACATTAAATAAATTCAGCCTATCAGCAGTAAAGAGCTCTCAGAATGTTGAGAGACAATTATAGAAGTAGCCTATCTACTGTAATTGTAAATATTTATTTGTTTAAATGGGAAGTTTACTTTAGCCATGTTATCTTTCTCTTCTGTACTCCCTTAGCACTTTTAATCATAGCAAATATTTGGACTAATAATAGACAGCATTTAATTTTTGATTGAATTAATCACACATTTTATTAATTTCCCAGGTCTATCCAATATCCTTCAATCTGAAATTATTTAGAAGTGGGCAATATAAATCTGCTTCACCTCTTTGTGCTTTGAAGTTTTCATTTAAATTGAAACATATGAAAAATACACAGGTTTTGGGTGAGTGATAGATTTTGGGCCCTCAGTAAAATAAGATACTGCAGAGTTCAGTGTGTTTCATGTAAACAGAAATTTTATAATTGTAAATACCTTAAAAACATGGCCCTTTCTGCTTTTCCAGCTTTCATCTATCCCTATTTGCCTTCCCTGTCTGTTCCAGTAATGATGGCAATTTCCATTGCTTATCACTGTAGTTCTTCTGCAAAGAGCTGTGCCCCTTCCTTTTCTCTGTCACAATGTATGGAGGATATTGTGTGAATCAATTTGCAAAGCTACCGTTCTGTCCTTCAGATTATGTCTGAAATCCATGTCAAAACTATAGTAAACTGCCTGTGAATAAGCACTAGACAAGCGACCTGATTACAAGATCTTGCATTTTTACATGGTTAAAAAAAAATCTCAAATTAATAAAACCCTTAATGCTTTTATGTGAGCCTGCAAATTGTATGCCAAGTTGATCTGTGTATCCTGGTATTCCTACTGACAATGTCCTTCTATTCTTGCTTGCTTTCTGTGTCCAGCTCGGACATTGTATCTGTATTTAGCTGTAAGCTACTTGGGGCAGGGACTGTTTTAGTATATGCTTAGCACAATTTGTGCTATAGTTCTCTGTATTTGCTATACAGAAACCTTATGCCAGGGAATCAATATATAATTCATTGATTCAAACTCAAGCAGACATTAGCTTACTGTGTTCATGAAAAAATACCAGCATTTTTTGCATTAAATAGCACTGTGGAAGAATTTCCAAATATAATGGCAGTGTTCACTTTTCTGGGAAAATATTATCCAAGGCAATGAAAGCTTCAGGAAGTAAAGCAGTGAATATTGTCTATAAATCTTAAGTTTGCTTGCTGTAGTATAGACAACAAGTATATTAGTGCATAGGTACACCATTATAAATAAAACAGATCTATGTAAAAACTCTACCATATCTTAAATAATATATATAAATTATTTGCGACTACATTTTTTAATCCTTCCAATTTGTGTAACATGTTTTATTGCACCAGAAAAAAACCCATTATTTCTCTCTCCAAGTAGCAGTCCACGTGTACATTTACAAAGAGATATAGATATATATCTACTCAGCCAGTCCTCTGAGTTTCTCTTGGCCATGTTGATCCTGAGGCTCAGCATTTTCCCTATGCTAAAATGGAGTTTGGTAACTGAACTCTCTGGTAACAAGGACATTTCTGCCTTCTGGACAGTTTTTGGGTCGATTCACTTGTTAGTTATTCACTATTACCATGAAATTCTGCCTAGAGCTTTTAAGATTTACGTCAGCATTCATCTTTGTGACATCTCATGCAGGATTAAACATCTGCATCTTACAAGTGTGCTTTCGATCTCCACATTCCCAGACTGATTTTAGTTCAGTTTTGTGGTAATATTTCTCCTCTTGCTCAGAAAATCACCTATACAATGAACAGATCATTCCACTGTTTATGTGGTGTGCCTTTCAAATTCATCATTCGATCAGACTGTTCATAATATTTATCTCATTTCTGAGATATGACATTCATTAGCATTGTCTGATATCTTGGTAAAGCAAAGACTGCCCCAGAATTTAGGACAGTGCAGAATGCCTGTAAAGCATTTCAGAATCATGTTCAGATGTGACAGGGAATATCATGGTAGAATAGGTGAAGAAGCAAGAAAGTATAAACTGAAAAAAATGTCATTTGGCTTTAGATTATTCTCCTGACACTATGAATTAGATATGTAGGTAGCCTAAGTTCCTCTACTCCCTTTATGGATAGCAGAGCTTTGGTTCATTGTTACAGAACTATCTTCCAGCTCTCAAGTTGACCTTGGATAGATTTGTTTGCCTTAGACATCTATAGGAAATGTCATCTTCTCATTTTAGTTTTCATTCCACTTAGGAGATGTATGCCTTCATCAAGGAAAATATTACTTGCCTTTCCTCCGGTGGGGAATTTTGATCAATAGAAAGGACTGCTGCCAGCTCTAACAATTATCATATCAGGATCTTTTCCACCCCTTAACTGAGGAGTCTGAGGATAGACCCTCTTCCTTGTCCTCAAAGCTGTTGATTCAGCAGGCCAGAAAATCAGTATTTTTCAGTCTCAGTTCATGCCACAGCAATGGATTCTAGATAGCTGTTGTCACTTAAGTATGCCCATGTTTTCTATTAGAAAAGGTTCCTTATTAATGTTAATACAAAATGATCTATACAATTTTGGTCAAGGTGCAGCTGGTTCCCATCTCTGCAGTTCATCCTCAGTAGGACTAAAATTTAGTGCTCAGGCTTCCTATAACATTTGAACCTCTGTGGATTTCATTGTCGGTGTATACATCACTAACTATTATCCCTGGCAGAATCACAGAATGGTTGAGGCTGGAAGGAAACTCTGGAAGTTCATCTGGTCCAACCCCTCTGTTCAAACATTGTCACCTAGAACAGGTTGCCTAGGACTGTGTCCAGACAGCTTTTGAATATCTCTGAGGATTGAGGCTCTACAAATTTCCTGGACGACCTGTACCAGGGCTTAGTCACCTGCACAGCGGAAAAGGTTTCTGTGTGTTCCGACAGAACCTCCTGTGCTTCAGGTTTTCGCCATTACCTCTTCTGTCACTGGACACCGCCAAGCCTGTCTCAGCCTTCTTTAAACCTTCCCTTCAGATATCTTTACACATTGATGAAATCCCCTGTGAGCCTTCTCGTCTCTAGGCTAAACAGTCCCAGCTCTCTCAGCTTTTCCTCATAGGAGAGATGCTCCAGTCTCTTAATCATCTTAGTCACTCTGTTCAGTAGCTCCATATCTGTCTTGTATTGGGGAACCCAGAACTGGAGAGAGTACTCCAGATGTCACCTTATCAGTGATGAGTAGGAGGAAAGGTCACCCTCCTTGACCTGCAGGTAACACTCCTACTGCAACCCAGAATGCTGTTAGCTTTTTTGCTGCAAGGACACATTGCTGGAACAAATATGACAGAATATGTTCAATTGTAGTGAATATGTTCAAATATGAGAGAGACATTCCTCTTGTCAAAACAGTGAGTGATCAATTGTGATTCAGCCCCTGTTTTGGTGTTCTTCTCTGGCAAGTTACCATGCCAAACTTCTCCCCGTTGTGGCTTTTGAATTTCACCATCTGTCTTTTCAAAGTCAAATATTTTAGGAGTTAAAGCTGTACTTCACATCCTTAATAGCGAGCTCTGTGTTAATAGTACCAGGTCCACTCAATAGTCTTGAGGTTTTTTTCGAGTGTCCAATCCAAAGGAAATGTCGTATCCACATAGATACCAAAGGAGAAAATAGGCTGTGTCAAAGCCTTTTTCAGTAGTCAGACCTATAGCTGTCAATGACATTTCTGAGAACAGTTTTCATTTCCAGAAATTTCTGAGCTGCACCTTAAGGTCTGCAATGTACCTTTGTGGTTGCACTATGTCATTGCATAGTTATCCAGTGTTAGAGTCGATTGCAGTTGCTGGAAAACTCCCATATATACTGTTTGAGTAAAGGATTCTGAAACCATCTCTAAATAAATCTGAATATTTAGTCTTCTTTTTCTGAATAAGTCTGTGAATGTTCATCTGGATTGCTTCTGAAAATGGAAAGATTAGAAATTGTTTTGAGATAAGTATTTCATATGTATATTCTCTTACTAGCTTCCTTCTCCTCTCCATTGTACTGTTAGTATACCTGGTGTGCTGGATGTAAATGACACTGGGCATCCTCTACTTTATATGTCAATGTACTAAGTATGAAGAAAGATAAAAAGTGAGTGCTCCTGTTATGGACATAACAGAGTTTTCAAGCTCTCTTGGTAGGAAATATGTACACTTACTGTGTGCTCACGTCCCATCTCAGGATCTCTGATTACTTCTAAATATCCTGTCATTGCATCACTGTAGCACTGGTGCATTCTGATACAACTAATAAATAAAGAAGCACTATTTTATTTCAGAATTATTTTTTGTGTGTCTTTGAAGTCTTTCCACCATAGCTAGCATGACAATGGTGCATTTGGATAAAATATAGAAAAAACAGATTCAAGCAGTAAAATCTTTGACATTTGCCCAGAAATAAAAACCACTCAAAATCTAATTTGCTGTCAGAAAAAAAGGAGATAAGGCAGAGATTTAGTGAGATATAGTAGTGCTTTAGCTAGTGCTAATGCTATTGTATGGAATGGCACTCTGTTCAGATTTTTCAGTAACAGTCAGTAGTATAAAATAGTAAGAAAAGTAGCTTGTTAAGAGAGGCAGTTTGTTTTTCAGTACTGTAAATTTTATTTGAGCAATGTCCATTCACAAAGAATTTTGTGTCACAGAAATCTGCAAAATCAGGTTCACAGACATCTAAGGTAGAATTTAAATGATCTAAAGATAGGCACCTAATGCTGTTGGAGGTGCCTTAGGGTGTCCAAGACATCTGTATGGGACAGATACGACGCACATCAAATCAGATCTTCAACTGGAACATCATCTGGAGGCCAGGTGGGATATCCTGGGGCATCTCTCACTGTGTAACTGAATTGACCTACTAGGGTGTGATGCAGTTTCAGATTAAAACACCTAGGTGTAGATGTCCACATGTAAACTGGCTGACTCTGCTGAACAGCTGTTTTCAACTGACGGTATTGATTAGATTTTCACTGCCTATAATGGAGTTTAGAAATTTTACACAAATGCAGGCTCATTAATTGAGAGTTGTACAACATCCTTGTTATATTTTCTTATACAGTTATTAATTTTTATAGTAGAAGGGACAGCATTTATGTTGTTATCTTGGATAATAATAATAATAAAAATATAGTATTATTTGTTCTTGCCCATTCCATATTTTGGAATAGATGTGTAGATAAAATAAAGGGAAAAAAGAAATACTTATTTTCTAAATGTATTCCTTTCAAACAGATTCATTGGTATTTTAATTTGCATTTTGAATGTCACAACATTTTTTTTTTTAGACAGAAAAAGGAAGCGCACTACATGAAGCAGCCCTATTTGGGAAGGTGGAGGTAGTACGCATTTTGCTTGAAACAGGTAAATCTAATTTACAGGCAACACTGAGCAAATATCCTTAATATTCCTAATCTGGTGTATGCTTTCTCAAGTTTTGGTTACACAAATTACTGTTATCTTAGCCTTTGCAAATTTTATCACATGTACCTCTCCTTAAAACAGTGTTCTTTTAGCATAAGAAATTTACACAGAGAACAAAAGGAATGTTACACAGAATAACAGTATCACAGAATGGAAGGGGTTGGAACGGACCTCTGAAGATCATCAACCTCCCTACTAGAACAGGATCATCTAGAGAAGATTACACAGGAACACGTCTAGGCAGGTTTTGAATGTCTCCAGAGATGGAGATTCCACCACCTCTCTGGGCAGCCTGTTCCAGTGCTCTGTCACTCTCACAGTAAAGAAGTTTTTTCTTATGATTAAGTTGAACCTCCTGTGTATTGGTTTGTGACCATTGCCTTTTGTCCTGTCACTGGGCACAACCGAGAAGAGCCTAGTCCCATCCTCCTGACACCCACCCTTTAAATATTTATAAGCATTAGTGAAAACCCCTCTCAGCATCCTCTTCTCCAGGCTAGACAGACCCAGCTTTCTCAGTCTTTCCTTTATATGGGAGACTCTCCAGTCCCTTCATCGTCTTAGTGGCTCTACGCTGGACTGCCTGCAGTAGTTACTTGTCGTTCTTGAACTGCGAAGCCCAGGATTGGACACATGTTTTCACTAAGACTCAGAAGTTTCATATATGGCTAGGTATATGCCATTATATTCTGAGAATAAATGCATTCTGAGAACAAAATGTCTACATAAAATTGTGTTATTCGCTTTGAAAGACAGCCAAGAATATTCTTTGATTTAGAGGCCAGAAGTCTCATGTTCACATTTGTTTCCTTCACTTAGCTATTCCTAACAAACACGCCATCCAGCTTGCTCCTTCGTCTCCTGGATAAACTTGAAGTGTCTATCAAGAAAGGGGAAGGCACAGTGTCTCCAAGAATTGCATCTGTCCTGAAAGGACAGGAGAACAGGGATATAGAGTCTCAACAAACCCATCTACTACATAGTAACAATTTCAGAATTACTCCAGGTATATTAGTCATCTAAACAACTGTCATCTCAGATAAATGAGAAGACCAATGAAAGTGAAAATATCTATAAATTACTTCTCTGAGACACGTGAACTTCTGTTACACTGAGGGATCTAATTGATTTTATCATCAGTGCTTGTGGATTTATATATTGCAAAAGAAGGTATGTCCTGTCACAGCTTCTCATCTGAATCTCAGCTAGTGTGTACCTGATCTGAGATCTGTTTGCAGAAATAGAAGGCCCTTCCAAGATGCTTTCCTGTTTGGATGAATAAGAAGGAGGTAGAAAGTGATCTTCACCTGCTCTCAAAAAGGCAGGGCCTTTTAAAATTAATTAACCTAAAAGAGGAAGGATTGGAGAATATCACACGTAGGAAGTCATTAGACCACAGATAAAGAATATAGATAGTCCACACCTTAGCCTTTGCCAGAGTACTATTGTATAAGACAGGAGAGTCTGCACTGTGAACTATTTCAACCTCAAATGCTCTGCACTTCTGGAACACTCCCTACCTTCTGCCATTTTATCTAACAATCTCATTTTCTCTAGTTCTGCTTCAAAAAGACTCAGAAGATGTTCTAAGTAGCTACTGTGAATTAAAAGTGTAGGTTGGTGTCTCTGGCCTCTGAAAATCAGCTGCCACTGCTTATCAGTCCAGCAATATTTGGGGTGTATTTTCAGTGAGAAAAATATTCTGTTTCTCACAGAACAAATTAGGAAACTCTCCAGCAGGTCAGAAAATGACAAGAACTGCAGCCTTTTCCTATGAGTAGAGAAATCCTTCCATGATTCCAGAATGCCCATGTAAATCATGCTTCCCCTGTTTTCCTTTATGCAGCATCCCAAGAAAAATCTCATTCTGTTTGTGAGGACTTTTCATGCCTTTCCTTTTTATGAAAGTACATCTAAACATAACGCAAGCATTTCCAAGGTGGCCCCTACAAGAGAAAGGTGGAGACGGGTTGCCTGAGACCTATCCAGGATAAACCTCAAAATTATTTATGGTTATATTCACAGTTTGAGCCGAGAAATAACTTTGTCAACAGTCTGAACAGTCTGTGAAGAAATGCTCTGGCTGTTCACAGAGCCCTTATACTATATATGGATACTTCAGTCTACTCAGAGCATGAATTTTGAACATGTCACCATAAAGTAAAAAACTTTTAAGGTTAATGACTTTTTCATTATTGCTCCCAAAACACATACTAGTGCTATGCACTAGAAAGTACCCAATGAATCGGGACAATGTGGGGAGAATTAGCATCCAAGAGTGTAGGAAAAACATTCAGAAAAGTTCTTGATTTTATAAAATATTATTTTCAGGATGGCTATTTCTTAGGAACACTCTGTTAAAAAAATCCCAAGTTTGGCTTAAGAAGCTTACTTTATATCCCCATGAGTTACAGAAACATAAAAACAATCCTTGTCAGCATGTGAATTTTAGGCTACTGAAGCTTTAAACAGAAATGGATGCTGTACTTCAACTATAACACAGCTGTTAATCCGCTACTGTTGTAAAACTGCTTGCATTCATTTTGCCAGATAATTGAGTCTGATATACCACATTTGTAATCAGAAGTACTTGGGGTTAAAAATTCCACCACAGATAATTTTCTTTTTCAGGAATTGATACCAACATAAAGGACAGTTTGGGTAGAACGGTTTTAGATATTCTTAAAGAACATCCATCTCAGCAGTCACTCCAAATTGCAGCTCTACTTCAAGGTAAGTCATATTCAGTTATACATTTATTAGAGACAAATCAGAATAGCACGGAGGAATATGAAGATTTATAGTACATTTATAGTAATTTATACTCTTTAAGTATCTCATTATACAAAAGAGTAGTCTTTTGAATTAAAAAGACAAAATTCTTGTTTGCTAGATACACAAAAATAAGTGATTGAGTATTTGAATTTCAGAGTAAACTTTTTTCTAACATCAGACACTAGTATGGTGTGTCACTTACTCTTTGTACATTCTTCATTACTAAATAATAGGTTGTAATATTTCACTGCAGTTCCATTAAATTGTGATGGTAAACTATAATTGAAATGTTTGATTTGTTCATAAATAATAACTGTGACTGAAAAATGACAAATTTTCAAAACATTTAATCACATTTTTCTCATTTTCCTTAAATTTTTAAAATAATTAAACCAGACAGTAACTCTTGTCATTATGGCAGAAATAATATAATTTTGTTGTATGTGTGTTTGTTCTCATTCTTCATCTTACTTTCATGGTGTAACACTGATTAAACTCCATTGTTTACTTCAATTTTTTACTCTAGAAGATGGGGTTAAGTGATGAAACATGAGCTAGTACATAACTCAGTGTTAAGCATCATTAATTCTTGTCTATGGAGTTTGTTCCCTGCATTTTTAGATTAGTCTTCCATTAACTGTGTTTGACAGGAAGGTTCCCTGCAGGTATCTTTGCTGTATCTCTACCTGTATTGATTACGCTCGTCTTTATACAAGTCATTTTAATCAGCTCAGTGTTGGTTCTACATATGAACTAGCTCATGCTTCAGTCTCCTGCAAAACTGTATTTCATAAGAACATTTCCTAAAGAAAATTAGGTCATGTGGCCACACACTGTTCTTTTCTGAATAAATTCCAAACTTGTTAGCTGGTTTCAGTAAAGTTTTCCAGTGAGATGATTAGCTGAAGATACAAAGCTCCTGTAAACATAACAAAAGTTTTGCAGGCTGGAGGAGAGGTGCACATTCTTAAGGTGCACATTCATGTTATAGCTGAACTGACTTAACAGCTTGCCTTGAGGTCTCCCTCCCTCCTTCCTATTTTCTTTTTCCCTTTCCTCCATTCCCACCCTTCCTCCTCCCCTACTTCCAGCTATACAGTTCCCTTCCATATTTCCTGCATACAGGAGATTGCAAAGTGATCTGATTCGGTTCATTAACCAGTAATGTATAAAATAATATAATTTATTATATTGCCTATAATTAATAGTATGTAGCAATAATAAAAATAAGACCATAATTATATAAATATACATTTGTTTGTTTTAATGAACTTGCTTCCTATGTGATTCAGGTCCCAGAGTTAGCTCTGTCCCAGGTAACTGGCAGAAATGTGCATCGAAAGGCAAGGAGGAAGATATGGGTGAGGGAAGTAGGACTTCCCGTTATCAGCAGAAAGATGTTCCTAATTTGTCTCAGGCTGTATGGTGAAACTTCAGCCTTTATGTCCTTACTGAGCTGCAACATCAACATGCCACTATATGAAGGAAAAGAGGGTTAATGTTATACTGAAATTTTTGCAGTGGCAAGAAAAGGATCACTCAGAGCTTCTACTTTCTTAGATATGCTAATCAATATTAATCAGATATTCATCTAAAACTCATTATAATGTCCTATCACCAACTAAACTAATTTTAATTTTATTATCTCTGCATTGTTCCATTTTATCCTTAGTGTGTTAACCTTGCAGTCTCAGCCCCACTGATGAGCAAAGTTTCTTCAAAGTACCCTAACTCTATGAAAAATAGAGCACACAAACCCCTCTCAAGGGTTTATCATGTTGATGGATCAGTATCCACCCTTAATTTTTACCACAAAAAGGGAATACATCAATTTCAAGATGTTTTGGTGCTTTGACATTGCCACTTTTTTCACGTGTGCCTTGAATGTATAAAGAAGACTGCTTAGTAATTTCAGGTCATATTAGTATGACTGAACTGAGCTTGTAATGAGCAGCTGTTTATTTTTGCTCAGCTTTATAGTCAGAAGTGATGTGCAAGGATGAAAAATGTTTACAAAGATGCCGCTCTGAGTCTTAGGAAAACCTGAGGACCCTCTTCAGAACTCCTCTGTGGAACCCACTGAGATCTGTTTTCATCAGCAAATGGTTCACTGAATCTGTAATCCTCACTAATAAAGTTTGTACAGTGAGCTGAAATTGAAAAAAAAATCAGGAGTGGCAGGATTCAGTAGTAGCACTGCTGATGGTACAGTAGACTTATCCTCTTCTAAAAAGCCAGTTAAGTGAACCCTTCACTGAAGTGCGGGCATTTATCCTGCTGTAGCTGAAAAATCAGTGAAGCACTGGGATTTTGGGAAACCTGAATGTACTGTAATTGAGTTTGACTTCAGTGGATAATGAATTCCATGCAAAGAAAGGACAATTGCTGGGAGAGAGTTAGTGGCTTCCAAATACATTCCTGTTAAAGCTTCTTTCTTTAGATGACTGTCTAGAGCTTACATTTCTCCTTCATTCAGGCTTACAGGAAAAAGAAATTAAATTGATGACATCAGACAATTACCAACCAGATTTTATAAGTTTCTACTTATTTTTTTTCCTTTAAGCAGCCACAATGACATTGAATTGATTCATTTACCTTGTTGCCAGGATAGAGTAAGATTTTATCGCCTAGCATTCTCATTAATTTTTACCATTTTCCCCCTTGCATTGTTTTGACTCTTACTGTACAGTTTGTAACATATCATAATATTTGTCCCTGTCACAAGACATTGGCTTTCAAAATATAAAACAAAGGCTGAAAGATGCATATAAACAGACTGGCAGAAATGGAAAAAGAAATAACGTAACTGATATTACTGTTTGATAGGTAGTGTTCTGTCCTATATGCAGCAGGGTAACGCAATTGTAAGAAAAGTTTTGAAAGAAAATGGGATTGTTTTGAGGATATTGATGGGAAACTTCTTTGAAGGAGAAGAAAGCAATTTGTGCCTTTAGAAGCAGTTCATGGAGGCAGTAATACTAAATCCATTTGGTTGATACTACAACCTACAGGACTGGTAGCCTCCTGTGAATGGGGCCTCCAGAACTTAAGAATTGTGGATAGAAGTTTCTATTGGTTTTCTCCCTTTTTAAAAGGATAGTTACAAAACTACTTTTTACAGATTACAGGTTAAAAAGAAACAAAACCTTTTGCCAGTGAGGTTCTAGAAGTGATCCTAGTGTTTTCTATGATATTTACTTTACATTTTTTCTCACTGTACTGAGAAAATAGTAATTGAGGTTTCTACAAAAATATTTTTTGTGTGTTTTTGCCATCTTTTTAGAGATTTTGGCACGTTATCTGATAGAAGAAAAATAAATAACAAAATCACTTTAAAGAGCAACATGAAAAAGGCTGAGTAAACTACATACCACCTGCATTTTTTTTCTACTGTCTGTTAGTTATAAATAGGATTATTAGAAATTACTTTAAGTTTTAGTTCTTTGTCTTTCATATACGTCCCATCATTTTCTGTGTCTTGCTCTGGTCTGAGTTGCAATGAACTCAATTAAATATACTTATTACAGTTTAGATTCTTTTGGTAATGAAGAAATAGCTGTTTAGGCATTATGTACTCACTGTGCCATGTAAGGCCAGTCTACTGGATTCATTTAATGGATGTAGTAAAACAACAGCATTCAGTGCTGAAGCAGTTAACAGTATTGGCACTTAGGGCTTTATAATTAGGCATTGAAGATAAAAGGGATGCTGCCAAGGCTAGTAGGCCTAAAATTAAACCGACCAGCTGTGTTTTAGTTTTAGCACATGTGAACGTGACGCAGGTGCATCCAATACCATCTTCCAACTCTTTCTTTACAGCCCACTATGCTCTCTATTAGAATCTTGCTCTTTTACTATTTCTAGAAGCATAATTCTTGTTATTATGAAAAAAGGAGATAGTAGATATACAGCTGAAAATTGACAAGAGCCCCAGGAAGGCACAATAAGCTCTGCTGTATAGACAGTATGGAGGGAGATGTAATGGAAAGCTGTTTCCTCTCTCTTCTGCTGAAGCTGCTTAAGAACCTAACATTGCTTGTACATGATACCAGATTATTCATAAATGGAAAATGCATAAGCAGCTGCTGAACCAGGACTCCTTTCTTCTCCCCTCTGATTAAATAGCTTTAGTGTCATTGGCACAGGCTTTCTTTTCTGTATTCTCACTCTCTCTTTCTCTCCCTCTCTTTTTGTGGACAAGTAGATCTTCCATTCCTTTGAGTGCAGGAGGCCAGCCTCACTGGAAGGATGGAATAGGTTTCCAGTCAAGTATTCAATTACAGCTGTGTCAGATGAAAGGAATTGGGGATCTCAATCTCCCTTTGTTTTGTTTGTTTGTTTGTTGTTGTTTTCTCTGGGGACTTCTCAGCTCCTTTAACAGACTACTGTGCAAGAGCTATAGGGTATTAACTATGTTTATTAATTAATTCAACTGCTATTGTTTGGGGGACTGCAAGTTTAGCTGCACTTTTACTTATCTCAGGATGTTAGCAGTATTTGAGTGCTTGTTTCTGTTTGTCTTCCCTGAACACATGCACAGAAGTCTTTTTATGTGCCTATAACTTAAGTACCTACTGATTTCAGGTTTCTCTGGGAGTAAGTTAGACTTGAGGCATTCAGAATTGGCCTCTGAAATTTAAGAGGCTGAAATTTAAGAGGCTGAAATCAGCCTAGCCTCCATCTCAGCTCAAGTCTGTCACCTTAGCACACCTGAAGATAGCATTTTCTGTAACTACTGCTTCTGTAAAGAGAAGAGTAATTGGGTCATGAAGCCTCAAGTGGGCTGGGGAATCACTTCTTCCCAGGGGAGTAAGTGAGCTGTTTTGGGATGAGCTTTTAGAGAGCTCATGGGCTGGGGCAGGGTTTAATGGAGCTGCAGAGTCTTCACCCAGATACTTGGGAGAGTCCTGGGGAGGACAGAGGGTGTTCTGAAGATTTCTGTCCAGGAAGTCATGGAGTGAAGGAGGAGTAAGGAACCCTCTGCAGGGGTGTAGGCTATGGAGATGAGTGGTTTCTGTACCAGTTTTATTCCTCTGATCTAGTTACTTGGAGACTCTTCTGTTTGAAAAGGTGAGTGCTCAGATTTTTATTCTAATCAAATTTGCCTCTTTTAGAGCTTAGAAAGCTTTTTGGTCTCTTTAGGGAAAGTCACTCTAGGGAGGAACTCCGTGTGAATTCACCCCGTGGCATGGCAGAAGTAGGTTGCCAAAGCAAAAGGGAAAGAAGCTCACACTTAATTAAAAAGAAAAATTGTTAGGGTTTTAGTTTTGTTTTTCATTAAAAAGAAAAGTAAAAAATTATCTGAGGCTAATGTAGCCATTACTCTAAAAGCCAAGGTTTATAAAGCAGAAATCTTGGCCCTCTTGCCTCACTGAGGGATCAGGATCTACATGAGCTGAATTAAAGCAAGCTGTGCTCTAGAGCTTGAGCTTTTACTGCCCCTGTAGGTTCAGTAGCAACTGCAGGTGAGCTCTTCGTGGCTGACTTTGCTGGATGTGGCCACTCTGTGGAGAGGCAGCTGGGTTTCCCTGCTTACATATTAAGGCTTTCCTATCTGTTTGGCTGTTTGAACCCTCCAGTGCTTGTTACCTGTTTGGGTTCATATTCCCCACTGCTGTTATTTCTACTGCTGTGTGACCATCTTTATGCAATAACATTTTTTGTGCATGGCCCCATATAGATTGAGTTAGGTTATGTTAAAATCATCACTGTGTAAAAGAATGCTGCTAAGCAGGAAAAGTTTTTGAGTTTCTTAGTTACTAATCCTCACTGAATTGTTTGAGTCAACAGAGGTAGAATAATCCACTCTTCCCAAAGCAGTACAGTGAGAAAACATCTCTGAAGTGGGTATTGACATATACTTTCTTCACCCCTCACATGGTAGTCATGCCATCTGTCTTTGAGATGTGGAAGAGGATGACAGCAAGCTGGTAAAGCAAGTGTTATGAATCTGACTGGTTGTGTCCCAGACAGCCTTTCATTTCCCCTGTTGTAAGAATGACAGGCTTTTCTCTAAACTCTGTGAGACCACAGTTAAGGAAACTGTTCTGGTCATTAAGTTTTATAATTGACTAAACTTGGCTTTGTTTTGAATTATCTTTTATTTTTTGAGGAAAGTGATAGAGCCCAGAGCAGTCTCTTAAGTACACCATAGTCAGAGCAGATGATGGTAACAATATAATCTTTGACAGTAAGTTTGGGCAGGCCTTGAAGATTAATTTCTAGCCAGCTACAGGTGAATAGAATTTGGTTGCTGGTGAAAGCATCTGCTGCTTGTGTGTACTTTGCCTTTGGCTCTTGCACAGATCACCTGTTTCGTGTCTGCTGCTTATATAATATTATGGGTAAGTATCCATTTACCTAGACTATAAGCATCTTGCAACTGAGCCCATATCTTTGTCTCATATGTATCCAGTAGAATCTTCAGTT